GTTAATGTAAGTTGTACACTCTATGAGAGCTGGTGGCAAGCTTGGTTAAAACTTAAAACGGCCTTCAGCTTTCTTTTATAAATGGGATGACAATTTGACAAATTGTCAAATTGTCTATAAAATTATGAATAGTATTAAACATTTAGGCCTCCGGTAACCCTCGTTGACCCCATGCTAAGCTTCTGCATTCCAATTTTAAAAATCTAATGGATGTCCCATTTTTTTAATGGATGTCCCATTGCGGTCAGGTACACCCTGAAAAGTTAAAGTTCCGACTGCAAGTATGCCCTTATTTTCCCACCCTTATGTTCTTCTCTGTATCTTGAATCTTCCGGTTTATCAACCTTTAACCCTGCTCCCCCCCCCCTCCCACCCCCTGCTCCTTTCTCCCCATGTGGGTTCTACGATTTGTATGGATTGCTAGCTGTTCATCCATGTGGAATGAGCAGATGCAGATCAATGTATGGCGGGTGGGGTCTTGTACTCAAGGTGACACTGTGTCTGTTGCTGCTCGAAAGTGTATATTATGGAGTAGCGTACGCACATTTTATGTTATGTTCACGTTGGATGACGACGTTAAGTGCTCGGGTGGGTGGTGTTGTCTTCTTCACAGTGTGCGTCTGTTGACAGGTCACTCTCGCGATGGCGGTCAGGACCCATTGTTCATTGCTGAGAATGCGGGAGATATCGACACGACACTGGTGATCTACATGGGCCTGGGAACCCTTCCGGCGCTCGTCTGCAAGCTGATCTCAGGGGGACTTCCTGGATCTACTCCATCTGTGGCTGTGGAGCGCGGCACAACTCCTCAAGAGCGCGTCGTAAGCAGACTGATTCCGTTCCTTCCCCCAATTGCAATTGCTCTCCCATCCTCCGCTCCTCCCTCCTTGCCCTTCTCCCCCCCCGCCCCTCTGACACCCCCACCATGGTTTCAAAGTTTGCCGCTCCTTTTTTTACGGTCAGACCGATCACAACCAACACTGCGTAAATTTCCGCCGTAAAAAAAACGAGCAACTACGCTCCAAGTGCAATGACCTGCACAAAAAGGTAGGCTGACATTTCTGCAATTTTCTGAGAAAATTCAAAATTTCTGTGTCTTCTGTGTACTGATTTGTAAACCGCCGCTACCTTTCACAGGCAAACTTGAAACTCCAATTTACCGTAGTAAAGTCTGGCGTAAACCGCGTAAACGCCGTAAAGCGCATTCTCTGGCCGAACAGGAAGAGGCTCGGAGGGAGGGAGTCGTGTTCTGAGAGTCTTTTTTTACGCTACCGGACCAAAATGGATGGCAGCACCAGCCAAAAAACAAAAGAAAAAAAAAAAAAAAAAAAAAAAAAAAAAAAAAAGAAAAGAAACATGGCGCTGAATCTTTTTCGGCAAAGCTTGGTGGGCAGTTCTTTTCCTGCCTCTGCAAGAAGAGGCTAGGAGGGAGGGAGTCGTGTTCCGAGAGTCTGATTTTGAGTCAGTTCTGTCGTGACGCGCTGTGTTTTTGAAAGAGTGTGTGTGATGTGCCACTAATGTGTGCGTGCTGTTTGCTTGCCTGAATCCGGATCTGGATCCGCGTGTTAACGCTGTTGGTCGTGGTGTGCGCTTGTCCCTCGGACAGGGACAAAGTAGCGAGTAGGTACTTTGCTACTCGAAGATGATATCACCAGGACCATGCTTGAATTTTACTATGATAGTGGTCAGTTCATAGTCATTATGCAAAACTCAAAGATTAGAGAATGCCATAGATTGCAACTGGGATAGAAGACGAATGACACAAGGCAAGAAGAAGAAGAATTCAGCAGTGACTTACTGTCCAGGTTCATGTCCGCCGCGTGCTTGAGACGTGGACAGTAACGTCTGGCCCGGAATGGGACCGGATTCACGTATCAGGTCCGCTATCCTGACCACGTACCTTCTGCGTCATCGAAGCCACTCCACTCGTCGACTTTCGCGTGCTGCTTCCAGGCATGACCTATCACTAGGCATACCACAGACATGTAGCTCACAGCCTTGGCCTGGGCCAGCTTGAGATGGCGTGGCAGAGTTGGAGCTGCCCTGCAATCGAGATCTGCGACCTGGGCGCACTCAATAAATTAATTCCTTGCATCATAGGAGTGGCTGCATCAGACAGTCATTATAGCTGTATTTGCGGCAACTTTTTTTTTTTTTTTTTTTTTTAACTAGGACCATTTCTCAATTTATGCGCGTCATCCTTGAGTGCGCAGGGGCCATGCTAATCTTTTCTTTCTCTGTATCATTCCAATTTAACGGGTGTCCGGAAGGACTATTTGTGGCAGCTTTGAGTCTAGATACAGCAATAATTACCGTACCGTATGTTGGGATGAAGATGGTAGGCCCTTAGAATTGCAAAGTAGCAAAAACAGCGGTTGGATTTGCAGTTTTGAGAGGCTAGTGTGGGTATGCCCTCACACAGCCAAGAGCTTTTTTTGTTTGTTTTTTAACATCCACCTAATACAGCTAAGAGGTTGCTGATACCGTAAAAAAAAAAAAAAAAAAAAAAAAAAAAAAAAAAAAAAAAAAAAAAAAAAAACAAACAAACACGTATAATCAAAGGGCCTGGCTCCAGTAATCACCAAATGTGTGAGAATGAAAATCTTCCGCTAGAACATGGGGAGATACACCGCCATAATTTTTTTGTCTTTTGTGCACTTGGTGAGTAGTGGAGCGAGTCCCAAAGTTGTTTGTCATCGGTAAATGCGAGAGATTATGCGACCACTAACAATCGAAAGAAGTGAAATATTTAGTAGTCACTGTGTTGTTATCTTCACTCCTGTTTTCCTTTTCTCCTACCCTCCCTCCCTTGCTCCCCGCAGGTCTTAACGTCCATCCCACCTCACACCTGAAGTGTTTCTTTGTCATGTAATGCAGGTGTTTGCACCAGTGGTGGATCTCCCCAAGGCAGTCGAAGAAGCCAAGTTGGTCTCGCCAACGCTGATCGTCATAGGGAGGGTTGTTGCCTTATCTCACTTATGGAGCGATGGTCATGTCGTCGTTATCAATAATCACACGGTGCAGAGTTCATCCGTGTCGGCATCATCCTTGGCAGAGAAAGGATCGGTGCAGAAAGACAGTACTTCGCATGATGTTTGCGAGGGGTCCTCCTCATCCGCTTAACGAGCACGGCGATAAGCGTGGAGACGTCGACGACGAGAGCATCACAGCTTCCGTGTCGACGTCGGAAAAGGAAGAGTAAGTAGTCGACTGAGGCAATGATGTCATTCCACCTTGTCGAAAGCAGGTTCCAATTGTTTCCCCCTACCTCGCCAAAGAAAAAGAACGACGAGTCGTAACCACCATCTCGCATTTGAGGGGGCTCATCCCTTGAAGAGCACCAGTACTTGACCCCCATACTTCGACCCCGAGCCCTTGTCGTCCACGCGCTGCATTAAAGCACCAGTACTTGGCCCCCATACTTCGGCCCCGAGCCCTTGTCATACACGTGCCGCGTTAAAGCACCGGTACCACTTCGGAGGCCGCCAGTTTCTTTTTTCAAGGGCAGGCCTGGCCACGCGGCGCCTCCGACTTTTGGTTGTGGCAACAAAAAAAAATTTGCAAGGCTGGGGCCGTGTACTAGCGGTTTAAGCGGGCTTCGGGCCTACCGGACCACAAAAAAGGCCAGCGGCGCCAGGCAAACGAGAAAAAAAAAAAAAAAAAAAGTCCCGCTGGCGGTTTGAAAAAGCTTGGCGGGCAGGGCGTTTCCAGCATCAAAGAAATGTCCCTCGGGGTACTGGTGGTTGAAAGAGCACCAGCAAAAGCAGGGGGATGTGGACGACGAGGAGATCATCATGGCTCCCTTGTCGCCGCGACTCGCCGGTGTCGGAAAAGGAAGAGCGAGTCGTCGACCGACGTACAACCGTGTTCCATCTTGTGACCTTGTCGAAAGCAGGTTCATTATTTTTGTCGGAAGAGCGAGTAGTCGACCGTCGGCCTTTCTTTTTCGTAAAATGGGATGGCCCTGCCCAAAAAGAAAGGACGACGACGACGACGATGACGACTCGTATATTGTTTTGTCACACTTGCCAAAACGAAAGGACGACGACGACGACGATGACGACTCGTATATTGTTTTGTCACGCTTGCCAAAACGAAAGGACGACGACTCGTACATGGCAAAATGCCCATCCCATCTGCCAGTGGCTGAATGGTGCACACTACTGCACATATGTAAACTCTTTAGTAAACAGTTCACGAGTTTGAATCCTCACAGAATCAGATGGGGTACAACAATGTTAGAGGCTCCCCCGCCCTTGCGTTTTGGAAAAAAGGGTTGGGTAGTCATGCAAGTCAACCAATTCTTTTTTGGCACCTTTCACAACGCGGGCATGGAGGGGTCTGCTTTCTTTTTTTCTTTTTTTCTTTTTTTTTTTCTTTTTTTCTTTTTTCTTTTTCTTTTTTCAACCTCTGGTTGACAGCCCCGAACATTTTTTTGAAATTGCAGCAAATTGCAGGTCAGACCGTCAAGGGAATACCACAAGAACACCCTCATGCTCCCTTCCGTTTCGCCAAAGGGAATCTTCTGTGTATCGATTTTTTTTTTTATTATTATTTTTTTTTTGGATATAAAAGGTCGTGATGGTCCTGGCTCCTTTTCCATTCTGGGGAGCATCAGTCCCCAGTTCCTATTCCACCAGCAAGTCAGAAATACATGAAGAACACCCTCATGCTTCGTTCCATTTGGCCGAAGGACCCCTAATCAGCATTGATGGTTCCAGATGCCTGGAGGATTTGACTGTCAGCTTCCCTTCCCTCTACCTTTCCTGTCAGGTTTGTTTACGCAATCCTGTGGATTTTTTTTTAATTTTTTTTTTGGACCATTTCTCTCTCTCTCTCTCTCTCTCTCTCTCTCTCTCTCTCTCTCTCTCTCTCTCTCTCTCTCTCTTTTTTTTTTTTTTTTTTTTTGTGTGTGTGTAAGCCCAGGGAGTTGTAGAGGCCAAGGACCAGAAGACACATGGTGATTGCTGGCAGCTGACAGCCAATGGTTTTCCTGACAACCCATCCTCACGTCAATACCGTGACTTCACGGACCATTTCTCGATTTATGTTATGTGTGTCATCCTTGTGCAGGGCCCAGGCTAATCTTCTTTCTTTATATGGGTTCAATTTTTTAACGGATGTCCCGAAGGCCAATCCTGAGGAGTGTGGAAGCCAAAGCCCCCTGAACTTGTCGGAGGATGCTCTGCTGGAACTCAGATCTCCTCCACAGTTCTCCAGCTACCTGTAATCTCTTTTTTTATGTATACTTTCTTTTACTCTTCTCTTTTTTACTTTTTTTTTTGGAATATTCAATTTGAACCATTTCTCGACTTATGTGTGTCATCCTTGTGCAGGGGCTCAGCCTGTGTGCCGCAGCGAACTTTGTGAGGGACGCTGGGATTCCCAACTTGTTATAAATGATTACTCTTTTCTCCCCCTCCCCAGAAAAAAAAAAAAAAAAAAAAAAAAAAAAAACTTACCTGTATTTAGGCACCTTTCAGCCCGGATGCAGCTAGAATGGCTGTGCCTTCTAGTTGCGGAAGGTTGGTGGCAATTCCTGCCTGCCTTTCGTTCTGGATTCCAGGAGCATGCCATGATGGGCAGCCACTGTCTTCCAGTTTGTAAAGCCCCGTAAAGAGCAGCTGTAGTCTTGCTGGATCAGGAACGAAATAGTTTAGCATCGACGATAGTTTGTATAGAGATTGTTCATATTTGTAGATTCAGAACTATTTCTGATCATGGTCTGATATGGAGAAATCCTGTTCAGTATAACTTCCTTGCGGCTTACGTGGTACACACATGTAATTGTTGACAAGCCAATCAAGAATTCGAATCCTGTGCAGTCAGTAATGTCAACTAATGTCAGGGGCTACACCCTGTTTATCCATTACGGACCGTTTTTATGGTCCTGTTGTATAATTCCTTAAACCACCAGTGCTTGGCCCAGCTATCAGCCGTGGCGCTTCCCGTTAATGCGCCGCGCCTTTAGGGCTTCGGGGTACCGGACCACAATGGCTGGAAGCGCCAGCCAAAAAAAAATTAAAACTATACCCCGGCGCTTCGGCAAAAATTGGCGCGCAGGGGCATTCCAGGCTCGACATCGATAGCCGCGCCATGTACTGGTGGTTTAACATGGTTGTAAAGGTTGTCAATATAGCAAATGGTTAAATTGATTCCATCAGGATCATCATTCTGCCGCTCCATCCCTCCACCACTTGTTGTCTTGTGTCGTTGGTAACCTTTGTCCAGCCTGTTCCGCTTGTCAACCATTGATATTGCACCCTTCATTTGGCAATTGGCAACTAGGCTATTAGCTTCATCGTGGTGTTCAGTATGACTGACTGGTCGTGATGGTGTGGTCTTGCTTGTGTGCAGTTTGTGCCTCATCCTCATGCTGGTGATAAATGGTGCATTTACCCAAGTTATGACTACACGCATTGTATCGTGGATTCACTTGAAAACATCACACATTCGGTACGTACTACATACTTCAAATTTTAAATAGTTTTGTCTGGTGGGTGTTTGGAAGATTGGCAGCCTTTCTTTTTTTTCCCCTTAAATACATGATGGTGCATTTACCCAAGTTGTGACTACACACAATGTATACCAGATTGACTTAAAAACAGTAAGATTGAAATTGATGTCCCTGGCAGATGTATTACAGATTGGCAGCCTTTCTTCTTCTTCTTCTTCTTCTTCTTCTTCTTCTTCTTCCTCTTCTTCTTCTCCTTCTTCTTATTCTCCTTCTTCTTCTTCGTCTCCTTCGTCTTCCCTGCCTCCTCCTCCTCCTCCTTCCATGATTGTTTTGTCCCTGCTCTCACTGTTTGCTAAATCCTGAATAGGCCTTCTCCTTGTCATAGCTGTGGTCAGGTAAGTCTTACCGTCAGTATGCCCTAATTGGTCAGGGGAAAGTCAATCTGGGGTTTTGAGGGGATAAAGAGGGTTCCGGGGTTGAATAATGATAAAATTTCATAAAGTATGACGTCTTTGACGTACTGTCAGTATGCCCTGATTGTCACAGCTGCAGTGGCTTTGCTTTGACAATATGATGCAGTCACTGTACTGCAGTGTGCCCTAGTTGTCCCTGCTCTCAGGTAAGTCTTACTGTCAGTGTGCCCTAGTTGTCACAGCTGCAGTGGCTGCTTGTGGCCATGGTGCTGGACATTGCAGAAACGTCTGTCAATTTGAACACCAGTTGTCAAGGTCATTCTGTTTCTCCCTATCTGCACTCTTTTTTCTCTCTCTTCCACCCCTCCCTTTACTCCTTCCCTCTCCCTCCCTCTCCCTCCCTCT